GGTTCTCTTACCACCAGCAGGAGTAGAATTTATATCCTGGAGTGCAAATTTGAAAGAACTGCCATACATTGGTCAGCATTTCGATCATCCTGACAGCTTTGAGTAGAGCTCATTCAGATGCAAGTAACATGACTCCATGGCCCTGTATCCAAACAGAGAAATAGCGAAATTATCCGTATACTAAAGCAAACCTTCTGCGTCAACGACAATACAGCTGGATCAAGGCGTTCCTATCAGACAGACCATTACGAGTGAGAATGGGTTCGACCTACACTTCTCCAGCGCAGGTCTCCATTGGAGTTACTCAATACTCCGTCCTGGGATCACTCCTGTTTCTGATCTACGACAACGACCTTCCAGACGTTCTTGCGAGTCCATGTCTCCTTTTTGCGGACGACTTGAAATCCTGGAGTTCCAATCCCAGTCCCCTCCAAATGGATGTAGGCGCTGCAAGGGGGTGATCGTTGGACTGGCACCTTCCACTGAATGATGAAAAGTGCGTCCATTCGTTTGGAGGGGATTCAGCGAATGCCTTTGTTATGCATGGTGAAAAGGGACCAGAAAACATCGTGAGGATAGATGCCAAAAAGGATTTAGGCATCTGGGTCTCCTCAAACTTGTACTTCTCATGGCACCATGAGAAATCGGCCCAAAAGGCATTCGCAATTCTACAGATGATCCAACGCACCTTCTCCCGCATTAGTCGCATGGACTTCGAAATACTCTATGGGGCCTACGTCAGACCGCTCCTGGAGTACGCCAACCAAGTTATCCACTCAGGACGCACGAAAGACATCACCCTCATTGAGCGTGTCCAGCAGGCCGCTACGAGAATAGGTGCCGGCCTCAAATCGGTGGACTACGAAACGCGTCTCGCGATGCTTGATCTCTTTCCCCTGGAGTGCCGTCGCCTCCGAGGGGACCTAATTCTCACATATGCCCTGTATGAACAATCTTTCGTAAAGTTTTTCACCGTTGACCCAACAAATACACGGCGGGGACATAGGAAGAAGATTTCCAAGCTCAGGGCGCACACATTCATTAGACAAATTTTTTTCTCATATCAGGTAGTAGATGTGTGGAATGACCATCTTCCGACGGTTGTCCACGCTCCTTCTAGAACCCAGTTCAAAGCACTATTGGACATTTATTTATGCGAATCCTCGCGCTGGCAAGCATACTGCCCCGCGCTGAGAACATAAAGGGCAGTGCTACACCCTTTTTCCACTTGCGCCTTTCAGGTGAACGACAGCCACTGACCGACAGCAACAAAAGCGACCCGGGAAACTTGGGCAAAAGCCTCGATCCTGTGTATCAATCGGTGAATCCCTGAATAACAACTTTAATCAATCGTCCTGCCTAGATATAAACCTACAAAATCATTCCATTTCCCGGTACGTTGAACGCTGATAGTTTTTAAGCACTGCTTCCAAATACGGGGCAAATATTGACTTCGGAATCCCGCTCAGCAAAGCAGATCATCTACGCAGCAAACCTCAGTAGAACATCAGATATGTAATACAGAGAGCATGAAAACCGTGTTCCTTTTAAAAGTCATTTGTGGCCAGACGCCAGGCGACCTCTAAACGGGACGGATGGTTAACAGGCTGCGGTTAACGGGCGGCTGCTTTTTGTATTTCAGTGACGGTACAACTGAGGGCTCACCAAGGTACTGAGCCCCGATTTGTCATGCAGGATGCACATTTTGATGCTGCAAACATGTTTGCGTCAGCTGTACGTCAGTTGAGTGAAATACCCGGAAAGCGCTGGAAAATCTTAACCAAGGTTAGTTCTAACAACAATGTTCCTGAGAGCCCAATATTCGTGCTCATTAATGAGAGCCACAGAAAAGGTGGACCATTTTTGAGGTATAGAGAACTCAAGTGCAATCGTGCCTCACCTGACGTGACAGTGGCATGTCATCACTGCAACTTTTTATCCTGGTTTGTGGGAGGGATGGAAGCTCTTGTTAGTAGGTCCCCTGGGACAAGTGAACTAGCTTCCCATAATCGAAAACTCTTAAAACCATAAAAATAGACAAAGGTGCGTTGGACATTTCCTTGTGTGGAATACCCGGCTTTCTGTCTTTTAAAGCAGAATAGGAGGATGAAGTTAACAGAATAAGCCCATTTCTTGCTATTCTATCTGCCTAAAAATACTTGGGACTTCAGCTAGCTCAGTTACCTACTCCGCGTTCCTGTCATGTCCATTTAAAATAAACGTAGTTGATATTCAAGGTCAAACTGAAGGCGGTGGATTAACTTCGCTCATGTTTGGCGAGTCACGAAGTGACTGTGTGGATATGTAAATATGTGATGGGTGATTTTATTACGGCGCAATGCTATTGTTTTACTCATTGATTTCCCTCTTGATATGCATCAAGTCGGAGGAAACTGGTTGCACGTCACACAGTGAGTCAGATATGTAATGAACTAAATGTTTTGTAGTTTTCTTGGAGTCGGACACCTTCCGGCCACATTACGCAAAATGGATCAATGTTTCCACGACACTGAGATGCCCGGTGAATGTTTTCGTAAGCATGGATTCCATATGTAAAATGACGTCTCTAGGAATGGTCGATTTGGTATTCCGCTAGGGCAGTGTATAAAATGACAACAGGGTGCCACCTTGAGCAAGAGAATATGATCCAATTTGATTGGTTTCCGGACGTCCCCTTTATCACGTATGTTTCCTGTTTTTCTCTTACGCGTGTCTCCAAACAGTGCTGTATTCCGTTCCTATACTGAAAAGTTTGAAACGGTTTGTAATTTCACTTCTTCGGATGGAATATTGAAGGCAGAGCTTCCCAGAAGGACACAAATGACTATCAGCGATTATACGTTTCAGACTACGGTATATTATGCACCACGAGAGTCGATGCCAATCAATTTTTATATTTGCAAAAAGGTAGGCGAGAAATCCAATTTAGTAGACTGCGTGTACGGTTTAATTATTCTCTTGGATTGTAATTTTAGTTCACTCTTGTTCCTTAGCCATAACCTGTGCACCAAATATGCATAGTTTTTAGCTGCCGCAGCTTCAATCATGGAAAAACTAAGAGGCCATGAGGAATACGGTTGAATGGCGGACGTGTTGGCATTATGGGTCATAATAATTGGAGATATTGTAGTTGTGTGTTGAAGAGGACTGGTGGATAGTTGAGCATTGCAGACGATGACAGTGATGCGAGAGTGCAACTGAATGAGCCACTGGGCTATACCCTAGTGTGTTGTTATCTAGTGTCATTAACCAATGACAATGCGCTGAGCAGCGAGAAAGATGCTTGTTCGCCCGTCACACTCCAGATCATTACGTCAATGCCCTGATATAGGAGAGGAAACCTGCAGATATTGGAACGAACCGTAAAGGAAAATTTGCCTTGGCAGATTTGCACTTCAGCGTTCCATCAAGTGAACATTTGAAACAAACTAGTGATGGAGAAGATTATTCCAGGCGTTTTCTCGAGGATAACGGACGAATGTATTCGGATCCTTCGTGGCCCAGAAAGTTTCCTCTATTGCCCACGATCTAGTTAGCTTACTTGGAGATAGTAGCATTACAGGCAGCTAACAGTTAACCTTAGTGCTAGATCTTTGACTAAAGTCACAAATTCCTCGGCGTTCTGTATACCTAGTTGGAGTGAACCTTGAAGAAAAGCTATGGAGCAAAATATCTGTTGGACTAATTATCGAAGATAACCTAAAATAAATACAAACGGCTCTCTCAACGGGTGATTTTTTTCAGTTTTCCGAAGTCTAGAGTGAATTTTACACAGCCGCACTGGAATTACGGGACATATAGCTTTGTGTCGCCGATATATTCTATGTTTGGGTGATTTATCAAAGGGTTTACATAAAGCCGAAGTTAGTATGATAGCAGAGAACCTTTTGGGAACACGGCATTTGCTCCTACTCTATAACTTTATCTACAACTGTCCCTTAGGCAACCGGCAAGGAGCAATAATAAAGTGGTGATGCTTTTTGTCATGCTTTTAAGATGCATCATAGTTGTCTGAGGCCAATAGCATTCCAGGAGTAAGATTGTCCTATAAGCTACGGCGGGTTTCGATCGATAGTATACATGAAAACATGGAATTGCGCTATCATATTTCCAGTGCCCTTGGCATGTCGTAATTTGTAGGCGTGTTGTTGGCGTTTTTCATTTTTCAGGATGGGGTCCACACGACTACTCATGTGCTTGGCTGGAGGTGATAAACCATAGGCGGCTAACCGATGTCAGTCGCCTTATTGTTGTCAATTTCTATCTTAATTGCCTGATTGAGTTTTGGAGGAGCAGCCACCTCAGATATTTGTTGCAGGCTATCCCCAGATTACCCTTCTCTCTTTTATATTTTCATTTTCTCTAATATAACGCATTATTCGAATGAATCGACATAGCTGTATTGTAGTGAAGCAGTTGTGTTGGCACTTGGTGTTCCCTTCATTGAGTATGGTGATTAATACCTTTTCATATTTTAGTGAGCATGAATGACATTTGTGAAGAAGCTGAACTTTGCACTAGTTATGTTTCAATATAAAACTTTTGTCTCGACATTTCTACGTCGCTGTTCCAAACGAGGATTAGAATATTTCTTGCAACGATGGAAATATAAATCCCTCAACCAACTAATATTCTAGCTGAGTTTCAATCTTATGTGTAATTTTGTCTTCGAATGCAACCATGTGAATTTATATCCCAAAGGATTGTTTAAAAGTTAACTGAACTTAACAAACAATCGGTAGTTTTTATTTGGGTAATGTTTCGCTTTTGACACAAAAGCTTCATCAGGCCAAGTAGAGCAAGGTAACTGGTATCGATCGTACCCCAAAAGTGCAATCCAACCACGACTGTATGGCCTTCCAAAAATCCATAAACCGGATGCCCCGGTGAGACCGGTAGTAGACGGAGTAGGTTCTTCACCGCATGAACTGGCCAGATTCTTGGCCGGTATTTTAAAACCCCTCACAGGGAAATCTAGTACTTATATTAAGAACTCGTAGGACTTTGCCAACAAAGTAGCGGGGGTTACCGTTGAACCAGATGACATTCTGATAAGTTTCGATGTCAATTCATTATATACAAATGTGCCCAAGGGAGACTCTTTAGAAATAGATAAGCGACTGTTATTAGCGGGCACCACCCTTTCAGAACGGACGCAGCTCACGGTGGATGAAATAGTGGAAGGCATAAAAGCGTGTCTGAACCTCACCCACTTCGTTTTCGACAACGTGGTTTACACTCAAGAACAAGGTCTAGCAATGGGATCTCCAATATCCCCGGTTTTGGCAAATATATTTATGGAAGAATTTGAACAGATAGCTTTAACTGGATTCCCATACCCACCTAAGATATTCTGGCGTTATGTAGATGACACCTTCGTCGTCATGAAACGAGATAATGTTAGGGAGTTTTACAACTATCTCAAGGAACTGAGCCCACAAATCAAATTTAGTATGGAGTTAGAGTCAACCTCGGGTAAACTGGCCTTTTTAGACTGTATGGCACATAAGGTCGGGGGAAAACTAAAGACTGCAGTGTACGAGAAGCCAACCGACACTGGGGCAGTTTTAAACTACTCGTCCGTCCATCCGAAGTCAGTGTTTGCCAGTATTGCCTCATCAATGTTTAGGCATGCAAGGGCCCTGTGCACAGAAGAAGCTGATCGGACAGCGGCCCAAATTGAGGTAAAGAACAAACTTCGGCGTA